TGGGTGGATGGATGGATGGATAGATGGGTGGATGGATGGATGGGTGGATGGATGGCTGAGTAGATGGATGAATGGGTGAGTGATGGATGGGTGGAAGAGTGGGTGGATGGACGAATGGATGGAGGAATGGATGGATGGGTGGATGGATGAATGGATGGATGGATGAGTAGATGGATGAATGGATGACTGAATTGATGGATGGGTGGAAGAGTGGGTGGATGGACGAATGGATAGGTGGATGGGTGGATAGTTGGATAGGTGGGTGGTGGATGAATGACAGATGTACAAATAGAGGGATGGATGGATGGATGCATGCATGCATGCATGGGTGGATGGGTGGGCGGGGAGGTGGCTGGGTGGGTAGGTGGATAAAGCAAGTTCACACAGGAGGAGAACCTCAGATCAAATCTCTTCAGTGCCCTGGGCCTTCTGGCACAGCTCACCTGGTGGAAAGGAGTCTGGGCGTCTGACACACATGCATTTGTCCTCAGTGGGGGGGGGGGAGGGGGAGGATGTAACTGCAACAGGCCCACGGCCTGAGGGCCGACCCGCATGCGCAGACCTCGGCATCTCGGCAGAGGCTGAGCGGAACCCTGGGATGTTGGGGGACTTCCAGGCTGTCACGGACCCCCTGTGACCCTCAGCCTCTCCTTCTGGGAGGGCTCGTGGGACCCCTCCCCCAGTCTCCTCCCTCCTTCACAGATGAATAATCCATGCCGGGGATTCCTTCCTTCCCATCCAGGAAGCCAGCTGCGCGCCGCCGTGGGTCACCTCTTACCCAATAAGAGCGGGCAAGTTGCAGGGCACACCTGGGTTCTGGGGAAACTGAGTCAAAGGCTTGGGAGAGCTGCAGGAACGTCCCAGAAGGCAGCCAAGTGACACACACACACACACACACACACACACACACCCCTGCTGGGTGGTTCTGGAGGGAGAGGAAGGGACGAGAACATGGGGGTACCCACCTGACATGGTGAAGGCCAGCACCAGCAGCGCCCCGGTGAGCCTGGACGGGACCATCTGCAAAAAACACTGAAGCTAAGCCTGGCATCGTGGCTTACGCCTGCCATCCCAGCTACTCAGGAGGCTGAGATCTGAGGATCATGGTTCAAAGCCAGCCTGGCCAGGGAAGTCCATGAGACTCTGATCTCCAAGGAATCAGCAAAAAAAAAAAAAAAAAGCCAGAAGCAGAGGTATGGCTCAAGTGGTCGAGTACCAGCCTTGATCACAAAAGCTCAGAGACAGCGCCCAGGCTTTGAGTTTAAGTTTGGGGACCAGCACCAGAAACAAATAAATACACACATAGCCTCCAGAGTCGGGAGGCCCCGACCTGACTTTCACTCACCCAAACAAAACCCTTCTCGTGCAAGAACAGAGAACCCCAGCCTATGCTCCCCCAAAATAGGAATCACCCCCACAACGATCTTCTCATCTGCTATGTCAATCTTTCTTCCAAAGAGCACATACCCTGTCCTGTAGACTGGGGGTATCTCCAAGGTCCCACGGAAACTCGGCCACTCATCAGTGGGGAGACCACCCTTAGGCCATTTGCCCGGTGCTGTTGAGATCTGCTATAGCTCCGGACTGTCCTGCTCTTAAGCAGCTCAAGGGGGGCTGTGGGGTTCCCACCGCAGGGGAGATAAGCCTAACGGATTCCTGCCCCCCCAAAGCCACGAGCTGCCCCACAGGGCACCGGCCTGATCTTAATTACCCGCAGGGAAACAATGGCAGGAAATGATATTAGAAGCACCATCAGGTTTGCTGAAGCCGGAGCAGTTTGGAGGGAGACCTTTGGACGGCTGCCTTCCTGAGCCACCGCCTGCTCCCTAGTGCCTACAGCCCCACACCCCCAGACTCCTGGGGCCCTGGATCCCCCCCCCAGCCTACACAGGCAGCCATGAGCAGCAATAACTGCTTTCCCCATCCAGGGTACAGTCAGGGGAACTGGGGAAATACCTTCCCACCAGCCAACCTGGCAGCCCACGAAGAGCGCATGCTGCACTTCCGGATCCTGCTAGGAGCCCGGCTAGGTTCTGGTTAAGGAAGAAGATTGCTGATCGGCAGTCCAGGCCTTTCTCTAGATGGGGGAGGGGTGTGTGTGTGTGTGTGTGTGTGTGTGTGTGGTCCTGGAGCTTGCACTCAAGGCCTGGGCGCTGTCCCTGAGCATGTTGGCTCAAGGCTGGCGCTCTACCACGTGAGCCACAGCTCCATTTCCAGCTTTTTGGTGGTTCCTTGGAGATCAGCATCTCTTGGACTTTCCTGCCGGGGTTGGCTTTGAACTGAGATCCTTAGATCTCAGCCTCCTGAGTAGATGGGATGACAGGTGTGAGCCACTGGTGCCTAGCTATGGCTTGATTCTAATAGGCCTCCCTAAGTCTGTCTGTCTCTCTCTCTCTCTCTCTCTCCCTCTCTCCCCTCCCATCCCTCCCCCAGGAGGACCACCAAGCTCTCATGACTGCTCCTCACCTGGTACCACTCACCCTTGCCATTCACCCTGTGCACCCAGCGTCCCAGAAAACCAGAAGTGGTGCTGTGGCCCAAGTAGTAGAGCGCCAGCCTTGAGCTGAAGAGCTGAGGGACAGCGCCCAGGCCCTGCGTTCAAGACTCAGAACTGGGGGGAGAAGGAGGGGGGGACGGGAGGGAGACCCTGTGTTGTCTGCAGGCTCTGGCATGGAGCTCGAGTGCTCAGGGCAGTTGATTAGATGGTTCTAGAAGGCAGGAAATCACAGTGGGGAAATGGAAATGTGATAGAAGGAACGGAAATCTGCCAAGAAATATATTTATTAATTCAACCACAAGTGAGTGGCAGAAGCTGAGAGCGATGAGGAGCCTTGGTCTCAGGCTGGCCCTGCTCCAGGATGTACAGAAGAGGGGGTATCAAGGGCTGCACCCCCAGAGCACTAGCCCCCAACAGTTGAGGACTCTAGGGGGAAAAAAACCCCAGAAAGTTGAAGTCTGATGAGGGAGGGAGAGATGGCAGCTAAATCTCCACTCCAAGTTAGGGAATGGAGTGCCACAGCTCATGCCTGTAATCCCAACTGGGATTTGAAAGATGGGAGGTTCAAAGCCAACCCAGGCAGAAACTAGAGACAAAAAGACTCTTACCTCCAATGAACCCACAAAAAATGTTGGACTTGGAGGTGTGGCTCAAGTGGTAAAGTGCCGGCCGAATGCAAGAGAACCAAATGAGGGCACAAGGCCCTGAGTTCACACACACACACACACACACACACACACACACACACACACACACCAAAATGTTGGCGCGCCATCTTGGGAAGGTTGCGTTGCAGTGGCCGCCATCTTGGGAAGGTCAAGACCAAGCTTGGTCGTTGAGCTCACTTTTCCTTTAAGATTGGCCACTGAAGGGCCAGGGACTGGGCCCCAGAAAATCATAGGCTGGGACCTGTCCCCTTCCCTTTCCTCCCCCTCCCTCCTTTCCCCTCCCCCTCCCCCACACCTGGTGGTACGTCCATCTAATCTGCCCCAAGGAAACTCCAGCCCACAGACCTTTTGGTTCCATACCACCTAGCAAGCAGGGAGCAGAACTTTTCCAACCAGCTCTAACCTCCACCTCTAATCTCACTGACTGACTAGTAAGGATTATTATTATTATTTGTTGGTGTTGTTGGTTGTGGGTCTTGAACACTGGGCCTGGGCGTTGTCCCTGAGCTCTTCAGCTCAAGGCTGGTGCTCTACCACTTGAGCCACAGCACCACTTCGTTTCCTGGTGGTTTATTGGACATAAGAGTCTTACGGACGTTCCTGCCCAGGCTGGCTTTGAACCATGATCCTCAAATCTCAGCCTCCTGAGTTAGCTGGGATGACTGGCGTGAGCCACCAGCTAGCAAGGATTATTTTTTAAAGGGGGAATTGCTGAGTGCCAGTGGCTCATGCCTGTTACCTTCAAGACTGGCGCGCACACACACACACACACACACACACACAGAGGTGGGAAGGGGTAAAAAATATCCTCCAGGCTTTGCTCTGTTCAAGTGTTGCCTATCCTCAGGAATTTGCAAAAAGAAATACAGTTCGTGGAGGTAGAGGCAATATTGTGTTTTCTGTGGAGTAGCTGGGATTACAGGCGTGAGCTACTGGCACCTGCCTACCACTTCATTTGTAAAGAGTGCAAACGTTTGCTGTGGGGATGAAGAAAGGAGTCCCTTTGGGCTGGAGACTAGAGAGAGCACGGGGGGGGCGCCTTCACCTGACACTGGACGGAAGTTGGGGTGTGTCTTGCAAAAATGTATTCAATGATCTGCTTATAATCTGAGTGCTTTTCCTTTGAATATTTATATCAATATCAAAGTTTCTGAAATGGATAAAGAAAAAAAACCATAATGGTGACTAAAAGCTTAACAGCACACTTGGAATTTACTTTCCTTTCATTAGGCTATGGATCCCTAAAGGCCCCGTGGGCTTGCTAGCATGGGAATTAATAATTCACGTCTCCCAAGCTGAGCTCCAGACAAATATATGTCCTGTCTCTCCTCCTGAAATCCTGTGCTCGTTCTGTACCCAGAGATGTTCGCCTCTCCCCGTGGGCTCCTAGAGACCCCCTATTTAATCAGGAAACACTGGTGGCTCCCGCCTGTCATCCCAGCTACTCAGGAGGCTGAGATCTGAGGATCGAGGTTCAAAACCAGCCTGGGCAGGGAAGTCTGTGAGACTCTGATCTCCAAGGAACCACCAGAAAAGTGGAAGTGGTGCTGTGGCTCAAGGGGTAGAGCGCCAGCCTTGAGCTGAAGAGCTGAGGGACAGCGCCCAGGCCCCGAGTTCCAGATCCATGCCTGGATTTGCTGTGAACCGCCAGCCGGGGGCTGGTGACAGAGCCCAGGGTGGAGGCCGCTACCTCTCCCTAACACCACGCAGCCAGGGAGGGTGATTCAGGGGTGGTCTGGTGACGGGGGAGGACGTGAGGAGCCATGGGTGGCCAGGCCAGCCCTGGGACAGATCCCAGTCCTGACCAGAGTCAGAGTCTCAGCAGAGACAAGGAGGAAAACCAGGGCCAGGCAGAGAGACCGCAGCAGCCGGGTGGAGCTGCTGCCGTCATTAGTCCCTGACTTCTGGAGATGAAGGAGGCCAAGACCGGCTGGAGAAAGGAGAGAGGGATGGGGGGGAGGGCTCAGCTTGGTTGGGGAGGGGGTCACCAAATAGCCCAGGGCCTCAGGGGTCTCCTATAATCCCACCCTGCCCCAGCCAAGAACCTAAGGTTGCTGGTACTTACCCTCCCTCCACCTGGGGGAGGTAAGGGCCGTGGGCACCAAGAACTTCCATTTCTTTTCTTCCTCTCTTTCTTTAATTTTTGTTGGTCCTGGGGCTTGAACTCAGGGCCTGGGCGCTGTCCCTCAGCTCTTCAGCTCAAGGCGGGTGCTCTACCCCTTGAGCCACAGCGCCACTTCCGGTTTTCTGGTGGTTCATTGGAGATCAGAGTCTCACGGACTTTCCTGCTCGGGCTGGCCTTGAACTGTGATCCTTAGATCTCAGCCTGAGTGGCTGGGATGACAGGCGGGAGCCACTGGTGCTCAGCTTAAAGGTAGCTTTTGATAGGAAGGAAATTAATTCCTTGTTGCAGGAATATATATATATATATATATATTAGCTATATATTGAACTCAGCGCCCAGGCCCTGAGTTCAAGCCCCACGACTGACACAAAAAAATAAAAAACAAAAAAAAAAAATAGCCAGGCTTTGGAAGACAGACATGGAACCGCATCCGATACGTTTTGATGTCAAAACAACTCCATGCCAAATCCGCACACTGTGACTTTATTTTAGCTCCCAAATGGCAGTAAAATACATGTTGTGCAGAGGGTAGGGAAAGAGGTCAACGCCGGTTGTCTCCAGGGCTGGGCCTCTCTGTCATTCGCTGTGTAATCTCCGGGAGTTGCTCAAGAATGGTGTTCAGATTGCCCAAAAGCTAGCCAGGCGCCCGGGCTCCCGCCGGCCATCCCAGCTGCTCAGGAGGCTGCGGTCTGAGGATCACGGTTTGAGGCCAGCCAGCCCAGGCAGGAAA